AATTTGATAATTTTTTTCAAACTCCTAAGCGGAGTAAAGCGGAAGTGAAGCGGAAGTGAAGCGGAGTGAAGCGACTCCGTGGTTCGATCTTTAAACACTTTGTCTACTTCAAACAAATGTTCACTTGTCCACAAGTAAAGATTATATAAGCAGGTCGGTTTCTATTTTAGATGTCGGCTATTTGCAATATTGACTCGGTGTACTTTAAGGAACAGCATGTCAACAGTTACTTTTGTGACGTCACTTCAATTGAATTTCAAATGCACTCTTCCAGATTTAATACATTGTACTGTTTATCTTGAATTTCGTTATCATTCCATCCAGTTTAATCTCATAAGAATTATGAACTTTTGTTTCTGTTAATATTGATTTCTCATGTAAAGATAACCACATATTCACTTGAACAAAAGTCCATAATTGATTAATATCATGTATCGTTTTAAAGTATACCATTTTGCTCTTCAGATCTACCGAAGCCAGCAAACAGTACAGGTATGTCTGCTTTCTATTTTCTATAAAACATGTTTCCCAAACAATAAAAATAGTTCGAGACTTTTATTGCAAAGTTTACAATCATTTTTATACAAGTCATTTAAGTTTGCTTCTACATATTGCTATTATATATTTTCTATAAATTTACTTCATTTATTGGGCCTATGAATTTAGACATATAAGAAACATAGTATTTATTTAAAACGTAATTTCCGTATTTGCGAAATTTACCTCAAGGATTTCTTCGTTAATACTTTTTTTTTTACGATTTACGATCATGATAAAGAGAATATTTCGGCATTGGTTTTAACCTACCTATAAAAACAATATTTGCAGATTGATCAATTTTCGAATAAACACCTTTGTGCAAAGCAACGTGGAAATTAATCTGTTGCAAACATAGATATATACACTATAACGTTCTTGTAGACTTATTATACTTATTATACATAAACTTAATTTCATTACATTACAGGACTAGTGCGATCGATTGCCATATCATTACAGTGCGCATTGGCCGAATATACCTCCAATATTTCCCATATGTTGACATTTTGTAAGTACAAAACACTGTCACACGATTAGAATATCATCTGTATCCATATACGTTCGAGCTGAAATATAAGCAGGTGGAGTTTACAATTAAATATAAGTACAGAATGAATTATCTGTTGCAGCCATTTTATGTATAATTCTTTACGTTAAAAGGAGTTCTAAAGGCACCTCCCTGTTCACTATGTTTTGGAACATTTTAGAAACGGACATTTATATTTTGGCCCTTTATCCTCACAGCTAATTTTCCTTAATGGGTGACATAACCATATGATGCAGTTTAATGTTAGCTTCATTTTGTTTTCGTCATCAACGCACTGCATCTTTAAACATATGCTTTCTTAATTTGTATTGTTGCTAACTTATCAAAATGTTGTTATATGAAGTGTACTTACGACCAAAATATAACTGATGTTTTAAATGGTTTTGTTTAGTGTACGTTAAACTTAAGTATATATTATACCAACGCGTTATTTCTTGGAATATAATTTGTTTGGTACTTAAGCGATGCTGACAATTACAAAAAACGTTAAAAACCAAATATTTATATACAATACAAAACATTTGTATCTGAGAATTCGAATTGTTGAAGTTCTACTGTAAATTAATAAACGATAAAATGGGTGTCTGTACGTCCATTTAATTATTTGTCGAAAGCTTACCTCACAACGCTTGTTTGCACAAAGCGTACTTTTGGTATTTCGTTACACAAGGAACGAGTTCTATCTCAATTTTATCGTGATTCGTCTAAGGCGAAGGTCGCTTGTAGTAAAAGAAGACTTTCACAAAACGAATAAACCTTCTGGATGCTATAGATGCTATAAAATCAAACTTAATTTGTGTGTTGCACTTAGAAAGATCCCCATAGAATTTTGGCGTAGTAAAGACCAAATGTTTGTCAAAGGTCAAATTGCCCTAGGAACATGGTCAAACGTAGCAAGTGGTTGCTTGAAGGAAGATGAATATTGATTTTGGAAGGCGTCCTTTCCAAGGTGAAAGTAGCTGTTACTAGAATTGTAACTTGTCTGGATTCTGACTTCAAAACAAATGATTTCACAAAGTTTAGAATTGGTGTTTTAGTTGCCCACAGGAGAGGAAATAATTTATGAATGTTTGTCATGATCAGCTGAAGGTCAAGGCACTTTAATTTTGCCATATTGCTTTAAGCGACTTCTTCTCAGGAAGATTTTGTTGGGAAGCATAGGTAATCAAAAATTACAAACGAAGGGGCTGGAAAAATTGACCATATTGTTTCAAACGACTTTTTACACCTACAAACTGGATAACAGTGTGCAAATGGAGGGGCTGACTACCTGTAGGGACGAAACACTGTTTGTTTTGAAATGATAGCATACCAATCGGGATTTTCACGGAATCATTACAATTGCTGCGGACGATTGCAGTGCATTGTTTTTATTTACATCTTGCCATTCTAGAGTGTCAGGAAAGCTACCTGTGAGGTTAGTGGGAGGTGCATGCTTTTTAAAAAAATAAAAATTGTAGGTTCATTTCTTTTGTGGTTTACTTGATTTGTTGTTTATATGATTTGTTGCAGGTCAAGAGGAGTTGGTCATACAAGAGTATATATACTATGGTCAATGTTACGGCTGTGTTATCCTTGGAGGGAATACCCTGTGCGACCTTTATTGTCTATATTAGACGCAGTACTTCACATGAAATATTAACAACTTTTCTAAGCGACCATTTCGACGAGAAGAGCAAGCCGTCTTCATTTCGACCAGCGAACATCTTTCACCACGTAAAACTAAAAAAGATTCGGCAAGTTAATACTCCTCTTTTTCTGACTTAATGTTCAACAATAGTATTACTGTAAAAATTGAAATTATCGAGACGAGGATGTTCGCGTTTTTACGCATGCGTTACTTTGGATATGTACCCTATGTAGATTTCAGAACAATGCCCAACAAAAACATTTCCAAACTGCGATCAGTTTAGTGAGTCACAATGCGAACATTTACACATCCTAATGGTTTTAATTTAACGGTAGTGTAAGTTCTACGAGATATACAGCCAGATACTCAATATCTATCAAACAGTATGATTTGGAAATCATTTAAAATTATTCATATCTTACTAATGTCGTGCTGGATGTACCTATGTTGAGCCGCATAAGCATGGTGACACAATAAATAGTTTTTCAAAATTGATTTCCCAAAAATGTTTATCTTAAGTAATGTGAACCTTCCAATTTTAAAGATTTCTATCCTTATCATTTATTTCGTAAATGTTCTTTGAAACAACGGAATCCTACGCTGATGTACCTCAAGTAAACAACAGAGCATTACACTTACGTCTCGCGTATAAACAACGAAATCTTTCGTTCACTACCTCACGTAAATACCGGAGCCCTAGACTACTTTGAACAAAGGAACCCTGCACTAACGTTCCTTACAAAACCAAAAAATAAGATAATTACGTACATTATGTAAACAACGAAGCCTTCCATTAGCTTACCTCACGTAAACGACGGAACCATGCACTTACGTGTCCCACATTGAACGTAAAATGGAGCTCTGTTCTTGCCTACTATGAACAAACATCTTTCTGTTACTTACACCTGCATAAAGTACATATCACCGATTTGTACACATCATCTAACAGCGTATCTGATTGGATTGTGTTGATTACATGAAGGGAAAAGAATATCCTGTCGCCCTTCATGCGCTCAAATTTTCCCGGTCACGTTTCCCTTGTTTAAAACTTTCTTGAAAAATGGACAGGAGGCACCACATCTGGATTCAGAGAGACAGAACCTTATAACATTGGCGCGCCAATGTGATCATGTTTATTTCTATGGTTTTTGTTTTGTTTATTTAGGTATAATAATATAGGTTTGACCTTATGGTAGGGAAACACGATTCTTTGTTTCTCCGCAATAAATTAATCTCCAAGAAAGAACGAATCATATTTCCCTGCAACAAAGGCAAGCAATGTATAAACTTTTACCATGATTGACGTTGTAACATAATATTTATTAGTAATACATTAACAAAAGGTCCACAGATGTATATATGTATTGCCTGCACTTACATTAGTAATTTTTTTACGAAAATATTTTGGCATTTCTTAAGAATTTGTAAGGAGTACTCAGAAGTAGCATTTTATGGCTCGATATATTAGAACCTGTCTAAATCAAGATATACTATTTCAAGGCCCGATGTGAATGAATTTTCGTAGATTATGTTTTGAGAATGAAACTAGTTTACACATAGTTTTATTCTGCTATTAACGCTTTAAAAAAGCCTTCTGTTTTAACTGAAATTTTGAAAAGGCTCAGTTATAAACCCTTGCAATAATATTACTCCACATTGTTAGATATTATTTTTTTACCGTTTGCAGCTTACTCCATTGTAGGATTTTATAAAACCAATCTGGCATGTTCTGGACACATATTTTTTTATTTTTTTTTTGTATTCGACTTTTTATCCTATATAAGCAGTGTGAAAAATCAAATAATTACAAGGAAAAAATATATTTGAAACTTACTCTACATATAAGGTAGCAGGGAAGGAAAAAACACCGGTGTTAAAGTTTGTGCATCTTGGTCCTGGCTTTGAATTAGGTCCTTCTGTTATGCTTTTGTTGTATAAACGAATCTGACCAGTCTAATCAAACGTTTATATTTATGAAAATTATATATACTAGTTGGAAATGTGTTCCAGGGATTGTAATTAAAACAATGAGCATATACATCAATCACTACAATTTTGAGGAATTCGCAGGAGCTGCCTTAACAGGCGCTAACTACTAGTCATATGCCACCTTGCTAATATCTCCTTATGTGTGTGTGTGTTAGATATATATATATATATAATAAAAAGTGATTAAATGTCCATGTGAAGGAAGTAAATATAGAAAAAATTAAATTTAATTTAAAATTAAATTTTTTAGTCGGTCGTTAATTTTATTTTTTCTATATATATATATATATATTTATGTTAAGTTTAGTCTTTATCAGGGTGTATTGGTTTCTGAACTTGGCTATGGTTAGCCAAATAGCGTTGACAATTCATAGAGAAATCACTTAAGAGACAAATAACGTATGAACCGGATATTTTAGACAACGCCACTTTTGCTATTAGTTATGACATGGGCTTATATGTATTCATTACTTATCTTGATCCTTTTTGTCTAATATGTAATAATAGCTTTAATGTCAATTGTAATTTTATCATAGCAATTGGAATATCATTCCGTTTGGTTGAATGTGTAATTTGATACGGTAAAGGGATATACTTTATATTCGCTTTTGGCATGTTTAAATATTAATTTTAATATCTCACCAGTTCATAACAAAAGTTTTAACATTTTTAAATATTTGAAAAGGGCACAGAAGAATCTATATTTCCTTGTGAAACTGCCCAAATTACATGTTTAATCTTACTATATTCGATCCCAGGTTAAATAAGTTGTATACCAAATGTTCATTCCTCCAACAAAAATGAACAAAAATATTCTTGACTAAAAAGGCGCTATACAAAGTATCACCTGCCGAAATGAAGTTACTAACAATTGACCATCTACATGTATATAAATATGCGTTTTCAGTCTTGTTTACCTCGAGGAAAATATGTACATCTGAAGTTATATTTGCTCTACATTGTCCTTAATTGCTCTACATTGCCATTTTGTTTGCTCCACATTGCCGTTGTATTTGCTCTTCATTGCCGTTATATTTGCTCTACATTGCCGTTATATTTGCTCTACATGGCCGTTATATTTGCTCTACATTGCCGTTATATTTGCTCTACATTGCCGTTATATTTACTCTACATTGCCGTTATATTTGCTCTACATTGCCGTTATATTACCTCTCTTTTGCTGTTGTTGCTGCTTATTTTTGTTTTATGCCTCACAATATTTGTCTTAAATTGTTAATATAGAAATACGTGAATACGCCATAATTATAAAAATACTCGCATATACAGTTGGTATACATACTATTAGAATAGTGTATATTGGTTATGTTAGAATAATGTAAATCGTCAGTTTACATACACAAATATATTTATAGTTTCTGTTATTTGTTCTCTAAACTTAGGTTGGTTTTATTAGCACTATGTCTTGATAATGATAGTTATTTTCGCTCGCACAGTTATGTGTGAGTGTTAACCAATTATCCTTCCATGGAATCAAGTGTGAACAACGATCCTTCTATGCAATAAAATATGTACAGCAATTAGTTATCCGTGCGTAAGTCCTTTTTTTTAAATTTTAAGCATAAACTTGAAAGAATATTTTCCCCATCACAATCCATCAAAATTGAATATATGCTACATCAATCAAATACTCGATTTTCCAATGCTATTACATTGTTTTAATAGCCTCACGTTGGTTACATTTTTATAAACAACTAACCTAACCACGATTCAAGATTTTCAGCGTTTCGTTAAAATGAACAAATGAGAATATTTACATGTCTCTCTTCTTCAGCTTAGTAAACTCTGACTGCGTATAAATTAGCATATACGCAGTAATACAGGCTCGGTGGATTGATACTTGTTTCAAATATGGCGCCGTTCACGCTTCAGCGAGATAACAGTCCAATGACAACCAATGCTTGGTTCATTCACCATCTAGATACAAAGAACATATTCGGGATCCACAATGTAAATTTATACAACAAAAGAATGCTGACAAACTTCTTTTTTCATGGATGCACATTCAAATTTCTTTGGCGATAACGTCTTCAATGGCGGCTTCGTTCTGACTGCGTCACTCCATAAGCAGTGTGTCAATACGCGTACATTATGACCGTTGTAAATGAATAGAAAAGTTCGAAGGGATTCTCACATTGTTTGATTTAAAATTTAAAAGCCATAAAAGGAACAAAATACTGTTGTTCACTGCGAATTTTCTAAATTTACTCATATATCGATGTAGATTCACATGAACTATATTATCCTATCACCCACGGATACCGTAGTTACCACCGTGGCAACCCGAATGTAAATATAAATATTGACCTTCATTTTGACGGCGTATACGGTAGTATGAACGCAGTTGGCAACAAACATATTCTTTTTGGAGCGCGTTGCTAGTGCATTCCTTTGTACTTTGGAGTAAGGTCATCATACACAATCAGAGACGCGAGTGTTATCTGTTTCCTGTGACACGTCACTCCGCAGAGTGACAGGACGAACTGGTGTGGATGTTGTCGTGAGGAGTTTTCTGCAACAAGTCACCAGCCAACAGTTTTTAGCACTTTTTCGTACCATATCCAGATTAGATGCGTAAATCAAAGGATTTAAAATACTGTTGAAAATTCCAATACCGAGGAGGTATGTAAAGATGACATTTTCGGACATAAGAGGACTTAAACTTAATTCAATGTCGGTTGTGTATACGATTGCAATGAAGAATCCTGAAACAGAAAACGAAAATGAAATAGCATGTACATAATAAAGGGCTGATTTAGACTGTAATGAGGAATAATCTTATTATGTACACAAGATCCCACGAATCCCTTAACAAATATTTCAACAAAGATATTTGTTGAAGATAAAGACAGAAATATGTTGTTACTTTGACAAAAATAGCATTTACCATGAGCAAATTCTCTATCGTGATGTCTTTTATTTTGTTTTTCTCAAATTCATCACTGTTTTCAGTTTCTATTACACTGTACTAACTTTCTAAAAAAGATCTAAAAAATGTTATTCTCACAATCCTTCCTCGCGTTAACAATATCCTGATACCTCATGTACATTATTTATTTTGCATCCTTACACCTTAATTATGAAGCAGAACAGTATAAAATGCCTCCAATTTGTGTTATGTTTGTAGAAATGTTTTAAAGTTCAACGCCCTTTTTCAGCAACGCATTACCTTCTTTCACAACGCGTGCCGATTTATAACTAGTTATAGACAGAAACTGTTTAATTTTTTTGGCATCATTACCTGTTAAACCTCGGTGACAGTTACAAAATTTGAAATTCAATTCGCTGTTTTAGGATGGAACAGGAATTGAGACTACATACCGATATAACGACAATCTCAATAACATCGAAGTTTTACAACGTTTTCTTTTTTTCTTTTCTGTTTTTTAACTAACATCTCTTTGCTAAGACTTATCGTCAAATATGTAACATGCACTTTTTTCTATAACAAGTACCAAACAGTCTTTTCCAAACTTATCTCAATCATTCTTTTTGTGCCCTGACGGAAGCACGCATAGGAATGTATTCTTAAGGTGGGAGGAAGATGGAGTATACTGAAAAAAACGCGTGGTCGGATAGGTGACCGGGATTGAATCCGGCCAACTTGGTGAAGACGGGCGTGCTATCCAATGCGCCACCCTACCCATCATATACGTTACGCACAAGAACAAATATCCACTTTAGCTTTGACTGGAAGAAAAAGGCGTCATTGATGCAAAAAGTATATTGTGAATAAATTTTTACGAATCACCAATGATAAAAAAATCTACATAGGGAAACCGGGGCAAGTTCGGCCAACCTTATATTTTTGTTTTTGAGCTAATATTTACAACTTCAAGGATCTTAGCAGTTTATTTGGCTGCGCATTCACACGAATGAAAATGGCGAGGAAAACCGTATTATAAAATGACTAAACCGGAGAAAATTGCTTTTGAGAGAGTAGAAAGAAAATCATGATCTCGTTTTTAGTTATGCGAACGTTTTGAAACGGAATTACTACTTTTTTTACGGGCAAACGTGTAACACACTGACAGCTTCAAATGATTACACATAAAAACCAAGCCAATCACTCACTATCATATTGCTGCACGATAAGAATTTATTGAAATATCAATTTGGGCCCGAACAGGTTCTGCCAATGATACCGTTCCAAGTTCGGCCCATGTAACACATAATAAGTAGTAAAAATGGCGGGAAAATCTGTCACAATTAAGCTCATTCCAAAGGGGGGGGGGGGGGGGGGGGGGGCAACTTACCAGAATGCCTATCCGAACTTACCCTATGGCGGGGCTCGTTCGGTTATCCTATCTTCCGACACGAAAAGTTCAATAATGTTCAAAAACGGACTTGCTGCCATACTTTCCAGAACGGACGTTAATATATAAAAAAGGGCCCGAACTTGCCCCGGTATCCCCTATTGTTATGTCGGTCTTAATCTCATTAGAGTTTGTGTTTTATTGTTAAAGTTTGACTTATCTCATTCTGAAAGCAGTATTCTGAATCAGTAAATATCAGAGATCAACAAAAGCTACGCTCTTGTTATAAAACGAGAACTTGGATCATCTGACTTTGTTTTTATATGTCGTATTAGTCGAAAACCATCGGTGCAATCAATCGGTGCAAGTTCTCACGGTTAAAGAAGCTGATAATAGTAACAAATATCGGAAGCATGTTTGTATCAAAGAGACGTGCTAAATCTACCTTAAATAATAATCAAATTGTCAGGACAAAAACATTGTCATAAAGAGGTATCTTGGTGACAATTCAAATCATATGATTAAAATAGTACCATACAGACAACGCCAAAGGACAACCACAAAGTCAATATGACAATCCAAGGACAGGCATTGCGGAAGCAACAAATCAAAATGGAAACATCATTACGGCAACAAAGCCATGTGGTCCGAAATGTTATTTCTTGAATCATATAGTGCAAGGGTGGAGTATAATGTAATATTTTTTTTTGTTTTTTTTTGATAATTCACGACAAAATTTAGTTCTTCTACGTTTTTATTTCGTTTCTGTATCATTTTGCATGAATCCCGTCCCGTAATTTTGCATGATAGCCAGAAAATACGGGTTTTATGCATTAAAAGTCCATAACAAATATTTAGAACCCTTAAAAATAACAAAAAATAACAAATGTAATTCCATAAACTACCCATGGATTCTTTCTGGCCACAAAAAAGTATTTACACACTTTTGTATTGTATATAGTTTTAATTGCCTATGAGGAATTAACTTTCAATTTAATTGTGGTGAAAGCTTTTTGCGCTTAAACAAAAAAAATTGTATTTTTATGGTAACATACCGACTGGACTCCAACAGATCAGATAGGCGCCAACAATGAGTATAGCCATTTTAGCAGCTTTCCACGAATGCAGACAAAATGGAACGTCTCTGGAATGACATTCCATCTTTTGTATTGCTTTCAAATGCACGAAAGCTGTTTTTGCAATTCGTATGTATGCGCAAATCATTATCAAAAATGGCACCGCAAACAAAACCATTATAAATGTAATATAGCTTTTTTCCATAGTGCCGAAAAAATTGCAGATTTGCCAAATGTCTTCCGTATTCCAACCGAAAAAGGGACACGTTCCGATTCCAAACGCCATAATCCACAGTACTGCAAGTATGACTTGAACTCTCTTCTTTGAGAACCTTTTTATGTAGGTAAACGGGTGTTGTATCTTAAGGTACCGGTCGCATGTCAACGAGGCAAGCGTCCAGACGGACGCTAAATTCACCGAAATGAAGAACCCTTCCCGAAGCATACACTCTACAAATATTTTGAATTGAAACATATTGTAGAACACATCGTACATTACGAAAACACCGATCAACAGATCACAGGTAGCCAGGTTCACTATGAACTGATTGATTTGATCCATCCTCCCTCTGTTGATAAACAATACCCAAAGGATCCAGGAATTTAGGGAGATTATGACAAGTCCAAGCAAGACCAGGACTGTGTTTGTCAGTACATCCTGCAAGGTCACACAATAACTACTGGGAGTTTGAAACAAAACTGTAGCGTTGGAACACATTTTGCAGCACACAAGGCAGTAAATATGAACAATTTACAAAAATCAGAATATCACTTAAAGTGAAAAATCACTATGTAAATTGATTAACTTGAGAATGTTACGTTTCTTACTATATCACGTTAGACAACATGATCAGATAGACACACCCCATGTTTACTCGAGAAATATATCCGTCAACTTCATTTCTCTGCAATGTATACCATGTGAGTAAATGTCAAGAGAAAATAGCATTCCTACTACACCATCTTGGATCTGTTAAATGCGTGTATCTTCTTATCGAATGCAACAGCATGGACAAGGTTTGAACTGAAGGTTAGCTGATATAAACAAGGCGGAAATTTATTACCCAAACCAATCTGTAATGTTTCAACAAATACAATTTAAATGCCAAGTGCTTTTTCTAAAAAAAAACCTCTCTCGTTCATTTAACTAGGATCATGTACTGCATTGATGGACATCTTGCAGCGAGTCCGAGGAGGGAGGTTACATATATGCAGGTGCATGGTACACTTAAATGAGTAACACCTGTGAAATGAAACCAATTTACATTTATTCAATGTTAATTTGAAAACCAATTTATAAATTCCCTAGTGCACGAAGGTGATATTTGTTTTAAGATTGAAGAACAAGTACTAATTTCTCCAAATATGCAGATCTTTGATTGTAACAACAATACCTCGTTTGCTTCAAAAACTTTTAAACATATGCAAGTAATTACCAAACAACAACTTTAATAGCAACCCAAATGCTGTTTGCGTCCTTTTAAAGTCTTTATGTACATATTTCTGCACACAGTTTTGAAGTATATGGTTGTATTCCGTTAAATATTATAAAACAATACTATTGATTCTACCGTTTACATATCATAAGGATTACTTGCGCTACTTAAAATTAAAAAATAAATAAATAGTTTTAATCGTCCTGATAGACGTACAATTTTAATCCGTTATTTATAACATAATATGCTTCTTTTTTTTAGTTTAAATGATAGATGCATATGCTATGCTGTTAAATAGAATTGTCAGATGCAATTTATGTTGGAGAAAGTAAGTTGTCTATGACAGGACCTTGGCCTGTAGTTATGAATCTCTTCTTATTCTAATACTCAGATTCTACGTTCAAGTCCAATTTTTGTTCCCCTGATTATTTCATAATAAATCACATTTTGTCAAGGATTTGTATGAATAATTGCAATTGTGATACCGATCTCTTCCTTTTTAGCTTTTTGCATTATTTGGCGAGTTATATGAAAGTTGGATTGAACATTTTGTATATTTATATATAGTCTTAATCAATGCTTGCTCTATTCTGTCAGTCACTGCATCTAGAGATTTGATTCTTTCTTCCCTTCAGTCCTTATTTTACAAACATATGTCGCCCTATTGTATGGTGACATGTAGTTTATGTTTGGCCTATTGTATCTATAACAAATTGTAGAGTTTCAATCACATGTGTGTGTCTCACTCGTTCATCTTTCAGGTGAAAGGTGGTAGACTGGCGGATTTCGTAATCCCTGAGATTCGCCGTAACCTATAAAGACACAGTTACATAACGCAAAGACATACAACAATAGGTACGTGTCCAATAACACAACATTATGCTATATTTGTCAAAGACATGAATTATATAACTTAACTTGTATATAACATGTTTATAAGCGTACCAGGATATTTCTTTTTTTTCGATGTCTATTTAAACAATAACTGGTTGTCTAGATGTAATTATTGTTGATATAATTACATGTGGCCTCTGGCAAATCTACCATAAAACCCGCAACAATAATTACATCCAGACAACCAGGTGTTTTTTTATATTTAAATATTTTTCTTTTTTAAGACATATTCCTACAAAAACCATTTGCCCTGCCTCAAAATACATTTCAGGCGGCCATTTTGTTTGTTTGCATATTCCTACACCTGAAACAGGCAGTTGTAATTATAGTCGAGCAGTTGTAATTATAGCCTATATAATTACACTTGCCCTCTATCACTGTTGTAATGGGACGGCGCGGGGGCAAATGTAAATATAAAATAATATTGGAAAGTATATTCTGGCAAAAGGAAACGATTATTTTCAAATTTTTGTTGCTTTCTCCATACATTTGTTAATCTGGTGTGTAGATACATATTTTAGTGACAATTTGCTGTCGTTCTTTGAGCGGCGTTTTCATGAATATTCAAATTTGATATTTTCTTTAAAAAAAACAATTCTCGGTCGCAGGTTTGAGGCCTACGCGGGGCAGTCGCCAAGTACTGGCGACCTGGCACGTCCTTAAATGAACTCAAACAAACAAAACCAAACAAAATCATATTTTTCCACAATAATGCATTTTGTTTGTTTCATGTTGATACGGTGGCTGTCAAATTTAATATCTTCGTGAGAAAAGGATTACGATTTCAGGTTTTCATCAGTTATACTGTGTATTTCATTAATTGTAGAAAAAATCATAATTGTATATACTTTAACTGTTAAATGTCTGAGTTGGTGATGGTATTCGTACGTTACTCCCCTCTCGTTCCCACAACAAGATACAAGAGTTGTCTTTCTTCAATTGAAAGCAAACGAAACATTTCTGTTGAGTCATGTCGAACAATGATTGGTACATTTGGAAATCGATATACAGGGCTATTAGGGTATTAATATTTATTACGCAGTAGATTCTAGCAATGGAGTTGCCAGAACGTTCATCAAGAATAAGGTTAAGAGTTGTTTTCTAGATGTAAACATGTCTGACCTTGGAATCTTTCCAGTTAATACACAACAAGCGTTAATGACCTCGGTAAATAACTATCCTATACAGTATGACCTTGTTGTTGATCGACTTGCCTTGTTTACTTTATCAGACATTGGTCGCCTCAAATATCTTAATTTTATTGAGGGAAATCAAACACTGTCGTTAAACAGTGACATTAAACAAAAATAATATTAAAAAATATGTTTTGAAAAAAATCGTAATCATAAATGACAGGGACCTATTTACAAATTAGATAAATTCACAGCTGTGTTATGGTACATGTTTGTTAACATGAATATGTATGTAGTTCAATCTGATGAAAACTGTGTGGATTGTTTATAAATGCAGACTAAACAAAGCATTAACAAGACAAATACAGTTGCTCATGTCAAATGATTTTAAGTCTTCTGGCTATCTGAAGACATTTGCCTTGTTGGTGTTTTTTTTAATCTGCATATATGTATCGAAGAACTGTGAAACAAAGAAACGCCTTTGGGAAGCAGTGTTCTTGTGATATTTCTAATGTTTATATATTGTTCATATCACGCTAAGTCAATTGTGTATTATAATGGTGTATACACACACACACACACACACACACACACACATATATATATATATATATATATATATATATATATATATTACATATATTAGGTGATATTTATAGGCATTTATGAAAGAACATATGTTGCAACTTCCCACGCAACAGATTGTATAATATAATCTGTTGCAACTAACAATAACATTTTAACTACCACCCTATGTGTTTGGGTAACACAGTACAGAAAGGTGTTATGTGTATACAGGGACACGTGTGAACTAAATATCCACCATGACATTGAAATATGGGATGTCTCACTTGCTACACAATCCCTTTCTTAACATTCTTCTGTGGGGTACCACGTGTCAGTTTTTGTAGGTACAACTAGTTCATATCGACCAATAACGCATATTGTATGAATAACGAATACATTGTTTAAATATGTATATGTGTGTTGAAATATATTTTATATAATTATATATATATATCATATACATAGTATGTGTTGTTGATATATATATATATATATTATAAATATCTATCGATGACAAACTACATATATATATAAACATATACACATATCGTTTGATAACTTAGTTTATTCTTTGATCGCAGACATATCTGCCTCTTTATTCAGATCATAGTCCATATTTATTTAATCATAGTAAATAACAATGTTTTTGATGTAACGTCATTCCAATGTTGTTGTGAATCTCCTTTCAATCACTTTCCCAAAAGATATCAATGTTTTCAAAAGTTATTAGATTTGGTGCTTGAATCACGTTCTCAGGTAGGGAATTCCAGTTCCTAACAATTCGTTGAGTAAGTGAGTATTTCCTTACGTCCAGTCTGCTCCTTGATTTATCAAGACTGAGTGAATGTCCTCGAGTCTTTTTATCTTGTTTTATTGACAAAAGTCCGTGTGATGCTGTTGTATCATAGACTTCTCTCAGTATTTTGAACACTTCTATTATGTCTCCCCTATTATGATACACATATCTGTTTTCTCCTACGGATGTTATTAGACAAAGAGAACGTTACGTCAACATCAGACATTTTAATATGGATAACAAATACATTGTATATTTTATTTTTTTAATTGTTATGCTTGTAAACGTCGTCCATGAATAAATATATCATAGCGGTATCAACAATTGCGTATTGTTATAATATATATACTTCAAATAAACAGTCTGAAGAATCTTCTAGAAGAGATGAAAGTGCTAAAGACTCGTTGTTGAGATTTTTTCTTTTTATTTATATATATATATATATATATAAATAAACATCAATCCGCCTGAAGAAACCATAGAAGGCAGAAAGGCCTAGCGGACGATCTGAAAAAATTATGTTTTATTCTATATATATATATGTACAAATAATCTCTTTTTTTGTCATATAAACTATGGTAACAAAATATAATATCATTTTATTAACGTTACATGATACATAATATCAAGTAGCATGGTATTTATCACAACAATAGGAAACAATTTCTTTAAACATATCTTTTTAATGTTTCCTATTTTCTTATTATTGTTTAGTTTACGTAAGTCATGTTATACATAAGGGAATATATTTCAATTTCAGTATTTACATTGTTAGGAATATTCATAGACTAGTAAATTAAAACACGAACGTATGACGCAAAAAAATGTCGTGATGACCTTGATGATATATATAACGACTTTGACCGAATTACCAATCCTGTTTATCAAACCATACTGGTCACATGCCTGACTGATAGTTACACAAGTAAACATTTGTAGATCATTCATATAAAGTGTATGTGTATATATATACACACACCGTATACACAGAGCTCGCGCCAGCCAGCCAGGCCCGTCATCGTATTGGCTGTTCGATCAATACAGGGACCATCCCACTTATCGGAATATGTTATAGACGCCTCGGCTTTCTTCGATCACTGAGTACAAGGAATGGAATTCCTGCGACGATGCCTCGATTAGTTAAGATAGTAAACACATCCTAATAAACTGTACATTATTCTCTTGCTTGCTAGCTATCTGTTAGAGGGGTCTAGTTTGTCTGTGTTTACTCGACGTGCCTTCGCTGCACCAAGCGACAGTCTTCACAACAGGAAGTGGGTCGATTATGCGCACGTGGTTTTGTTTGACAACTCAAGGTCATGACGTCAGAAATCTAAATATGAATAGAAGTGCTACACCCAGTATAATACGGCGAATTTCTGTATGAATCACCTTACTGCTTCGCATTTTATTGGTGCATACCCTTATAACACACTCCCTTTGAGTAAACAACTTTATATATACACTAGGAACCACATAAAACCAGACTAAGAAACGATTCTCACATTCATTCGGATCTCCTTTTACTTCTTCTGTTGTATATACGAGGCATTAACCTCATTGAATGAAAACTCGGGAGTCAAGGTCGGCGGGTTGTATGGGGCGAGTGCACTTTGAGGGCTAAAGGGATATACTTTTCTCGAGTGGCGATGGAGCGAGCAGAACGCAGTCAGAGATTGACGGGGCCAGTCGTGTAGCGCCATTCAGGATATTATCACTGTTGTTTACATAAAAGGAAGTTTTACACATCTAGAGCTAACGGATATCACGTTTATTGGTATTCACAAGATATATTCTCAAGGAATATTGTATAAACCAGGTATGTAGATTATTTAATATTTCATTACAAGATAAGGTTATTATTTTTAATGTTGATGTTGTATTGTTTATTTACGTTTTTTATCATTGATGTTTATGGTCTATCCAACCCGGATTTTTAATTCCAAGTTTTTTATCTTTTGTTTTTAAACATGTTTTTTTTTTTTTTTAATTTCTGTTTTTGTTTACTTGGACATTGATGGTGATTGAACAATGTTTTGATATGACTTGATGTTTTTGTTCATATTTATGTTATAATGTTTGTATTTAATATAGAATTTATCTTAACTGTTTGTGCCAATTTTCTTGATCCTAAAACCTTTTTTTTAAATTTCGTTATGACTACAATCTAAGTTATGCATAGTTGATAATCACATATAAACAAATTGCTTGTTAGTAATGTTTGTTCAAGCAAATGTATTGTTTGTTCAAAATATGTCATTAATTTATTATCTTTTCCTTTTGGTAATTGCGTTTATTTGACTGTGACGCTTCAATCATTCTTTAGTGAATTTACAATATTTGATACATATACCAACAAAAATGAAAATATTATTATTTTTATATGCTTACGGTCATGAATCAAATATGTTATGTAGTACACATGTTAAATAGAAGAATTGTTTATTTCATAAATGAAATCGTATTTGACTTTGCCTATAATATACATCCTGACTCCCTGCACGTCCTCCCACGAATTTCCGACATATTTCCTCTGTATGATAAAAACTACTTAGACCTATGTAGCCATGTCCGTGTATATTTCCCGGTTATAAACATAACTATATCGTTACGACAAATGGTCAATGAGCTTGGCTAGAGTTCACTTAAAATAGCTAGTTAGTTCATTCATTCATTGAAACAACGTTCACGTTTACCTGAAAGGTTAAATTCTTAGTCATCAATGTATGTACTTAAAGACATATCGGCAAGTCGGAAATCGTATAATTCATAATTTAAAGATGATGGTTTGGTTGCTATTTATAAGAACAAGGAGTACATCTAGCCGTGTTCCCTGGGGTCGATATCTCGCTGAGGTGAACGCCGCTATGGGCCGCTGCTAGCTAGGAGTACATTTGAAACTACACGTGTACTTTTAAGATTTTTTACTTTCGGTTGATTCCATCGAAAATGTTACATAGGAAATCGTGTCCAAGCTACGGGATAAACATACAGCAGGCAGCTGAAACTAGACCCGTGTGCTTAATATATATGAAGGACTCGTATCGTGGAAAAATCTAGATCACTAGGTCAGGTGCTACACACACTATATAAAACAGTGATGTACTTGTAGGCTCCGTTCTCTACTAGGCTAGGCAGATGGTGTATCATTACGCAGGGGTCAGTCAATACCTGTTTTTATCACACGGCAGCCGGATATTTTTGTACGGCCTTCCAGATTTTAATTTATTACAGAAAACCTTGACTCACCGGTATGTGTTTTATTTAGTTTGGTTAAGATACCCCGCCCTTCCTGTGTTAAAAATAGAAATATTGGTAACAAAGGCCTTGGTAGCCAGATGTGATAAGAAACAAAGAACTCTGAAGTAAACGGACATGGTGTCCTATTAAACGCCAGTCTGTTGAAATTAAAATCAGTGCGTAACATTTTCGAGCAGTCTGCTATAGAGCATAAAATGAATTTGTTCTGTAGTTTTCCACTGACGTTTTTAGAGCATGTTGTCTTTTTATTAGATGTTGAAATATGTTTTATACATTTGTGAAAATTGTACCAAGTAATATCCATTTTTAGATTGTCTGTTGCCTTGTTATAGAGATGGTGTCTTACCTTGATTATAGATATTGAGAGTTTATTCGTGTTTCGTTAAAATTTATTTCTACAATGTACCTTTTTCATATCCCTAGGGCCATGGACCTCGGACACGAGAAAGGTTCTGTCTGTACCTGTCACCCCGTGTCCTACAACAGTAACACACTGGAGAGACTTCTAGTTCACGGACCAGAGGCATACAACTCCTATTACAACAGTCACAGACAACCATCACCTTATAATAAGGTAGCAATGGACCACATACAGGGTTTAAGTCATGTTGGACATAACAATAGACACAACACAACACTTCAGAGTGTTTTGTTGGGACAGGTGCCTGCTGAATACTCTCATTTGGCTTCCAGTCAAAATTCCATACGGGATGTGCTGTCTCCGAACATACCTCATCAAAGCAACACCTCAAACAATGTCTCAACTTTAAGGATTCCAAACTACCATGACAACGCATTGCCGTCATCATCACCACGTCATATTCCGTCTCCACATGTTATGGCGTCATCACCCCATTCGCCTTCGCCACGTCATATCTCTTCTTCGCCTCATTGTCGGCTTTCCCCGGCACATATGACGCCACCCAGACATGTTTCGTCGCCACTATCATCGCAATATCATGTACCGTCACCCTTTTCAACAAATTCCGCCTCTTCACCATTCAACCCATCCGAATCTTGCCAAGACGAACCCATAGATCTGTCATGCAAAGGATCCAATACCGATGACAGTGACAGTGTCATGTCTGAATCTCCAAAATCGGATGCTGGATCATCTCTGTTAAGGAACCTCCTATGTATTGGCAAGAACTTGGACACAGACGAACGTTGTCCTAGCAACAGCATGGATTTTGATCCTTCAATAACAGCTATTTCGAGCAATACACGCGTAACATTAGCCAAGAAAAACATGTTACCGGTTAGTTCACGGGTCTCAGACTGGTTAGTGAAAATAGTTCAATTCTCAAAGTCCATTCCTGAATTTCAGAATTTATCACATAATGACAAAGTCACATTGATTCTGAACTCCTGGACAAGATTACTTTTGCTGTACATGTCTGAGAGCAACTTCCAGTTCGCTGTCACCCCGAAACACAACTATGGAAGTTCTGAAGAGGAGACACCTTCCTCTACTCCCAGCCCAGACACCCCCACTATGAAATCGGTGGAAAGTGTGCAGAACTTTGTTAAGAAATGTCAAAATATGAACCTTGACCAGAAAGAATATGCATTCCTAAGAATGGCCGTCCTTTTCAATGCAGGTAAGCTCATATATATCCAATAATTTTATCATTAAAAAAGTAATGATACTAATATCATTACTCTCAGAAATTACAAAGATTTTGCTATACATCTTAATATTAGTGTGAATATGAGTAAATATACCAAAACAACAACGAGACAACCATAATCAATACACATTTAAATACTCATTATATCCTTAACTTAAAGTATGAGTACACTGCAGACAAACGGAATAATATAAACAATGCATCGTAACAAAAACGGTATTACTAATTAATTAATCAGTAATTTCTAAATGTATGATGAAATGTTTAAAACAAACTTTGAATATTAATCAAGATAAAACACTTCAGTGATTGGCCCTCAAAACAACAACTGAAGTCATATCTGCGTGGCCTTACTTGACGTTAATAAAGATAAATTGAATTAAAACGTTAAAAAACTTTAAAAGATCACACCCAGATAAACCAGGGGCCTTTGACACTGGTCAGGGTTGACCTTGAAGGATTGTGGTGAGGGGACGCTTGAGTTCATCTAAAATACAGTGACCTGTCTCCCTTCTGAACAAAGAAAAGGGCCCAATCCTGCTGAACAAAGGCAGCGAGGCTGTTTCACGCTCCGGATTAACACAGCGTGGCAGATGGCTAGGCACCGTCTGTGTGTCATTCCGGGCCCCGTTCAGGTCATCGCCCTAGTATTCCTAGGAGTGACCTTCTGTGGAGTTGACCCCTCATTAGCCCGAGCGTATCGATGCTATACACGGCTAGCCAGGCTTAGGCTGAGGTCAGTTAACTTACGTTGAAGGTGATGAGATCCAGAGGAAAAATACTCGCACTATACGTTAACATTTACGAACTGGTTGAACGATTTTTGATATCGTTGTTGAGATGATGTACATTACATACGTCATACTATCATTGAATTTATTAAAAATTCAATGTTATATCAAAATTTTTAAAAATGAAGAATCAGAACGAACTCCTTACAATTGTCGAAGAAATCTATAAAAACAACAATATATTTTATACAGGATTTGCTTAAAAGCAATTAGTAATCCAACTTTATTGTTAAAAGTAACACACATACTAAATTCTTGGTAATGATATGTTTTTATTTTACTAAACTGAATAACATAATTAACGTTGAATAATATCAGTCAATAATATAAGTAGATTTTGAAATGAGATATCTTGGTTTCATTCAAATATATCTCATATAACCTAGAGAGTTCGACAGCTGTTCCATTGTAAAAGGCCTCCGTATTATTTCACATATATACTTATCGAAAGTTTTGTCGGTACATGAATGTTTTTGTAAGCGTCAGGGTCACCGATATACGATCCTTTTTTCAGGGATCTGATAGACAATTTGAATGATGAAGTACGGGTAGTTTTTTTGTGTCATTATCTACCGTTTATAGGTAAAACCGACCTGGGAAGGTCACGTTATAGCATTGTAGGGCCATTACACAAAAGTCGTCCTTCTATCGGGTAAAATACGAAACAGGCAAATAATAGTACTATTGAATATAAAGTTACCGTGCATTGTGGGGTTAGCAAAATACGCCCTTCGGGCTTTGACGTATAAGGTCGAGTCCGTCCTTGGAACGAAATTGGCATTATGCATTCTTTACAACAGGGACTGAATACAAAAGTATTGGCTCGCTGCCAGTAAACTAGCGTCATTCCGCGTTGCTACCTTTTTAGCAGTAGGTGAGCTGAGGAAAAAGGAGTGCTCGACCGAAATTATTCAGGAATTTTGTATAGATGATTATTTTAAGCCAAAAAGATTTTAATGTATTTAAAATCGAAGCAAACCGGTGGTTAGATTAAGCACATGACAATCCGCTTGTGAGGTAGATCATGTTGGTGTTCGTATTATTTGCACTGTTGTCGTTTTCATAACAACCGCCCTCGAATGTCTATGTTTAGAATGACTCAGCGGAGAACTAGTGTACTGGACGGGGGTCATTAGCAGTACTCTCCTGACCTGTGTCCGTAGACACAGTTATGTCACTGGTCAGTAGGGATCGTGACCGATGGTCAGTTGAACTATTTACCCCGCGGCTAATGACTGTGACCTTGGCCAGTCAGGATATGGTTAATGAGGCGCGCTGTTATGGTAGGATGCACGTATTTCTTTCTAAGCGTGCCTAGACACGATTACCATGTATACTGCAGTCTAAACAGTAGCCGTACTCCCCCAAATAGCTTCTCCTGCGTCAACATTGGCACGTAGTCACCTATATTTCGGAGTAATATACACAAACTACCCATGAATGGATCCGGCTGGAAGTGTTCATTCATTACACATGAAATACCAGATTCTTTGTTTCCCGTTATAAAATTTAAACCTTGCTATCTTCCTGAGAGGTTGCCAAACACATTTTAAACCGGTTGCATTATCACCTTGCGATCTCGTGATTGCTGTCTGATACAAGCCATTTAGCAACGCACATGCGAACTATTCCACTGACCTCCCACCGAATTTAAAACTTCCAACGTTTCATGATTAAGTACAGTTGGTATGATAAATCTGTCTGCTCTTGAGGTTTCGTGCAGGATGTACTATAAATAAACGGCCTATGTCGTCCCTTCTTTACTTAGTGTAATCCTTTGTTAATTAGAATGCAACTATTGTATTTATATATTATCTAACAAAAACTGAATCACACGTCATAACACAAATTAAAGGGAACTTTGTAGTTATGCAATGGTCTTTGATATGAGAAAATGTATTCTTTAATTTCAATGTGAACACTAAAAAACCCGCCATTGCGTTCCAAGAAATAGTACGAAATAAATAGATAAAAATGTCTAAGGCATCAAATTCATAAAAGGATAAACTGGTGTACGGTTAAGTGTAATTCTTTTTTTCATGCACTATCTATTACCAAATTCTAAAGGTTCAATTACATATGTGTATCGCCATTTATCGTTCATAGTTGATTTATGATTTAACATTTTGTATATTTCAGGTTATGTTGGACTGGACAGACCGGATATGGTTGACCAACTGAATTCCCTGATACAGCAGCTTTTGCAGGAACACGTCCGATTGGTCCGACCAACTGACGTCATGCATTACTCGCGCTTGTTGTTGCTGCTCCCTGCCTTATATGGTATTAACTGTAAAATGATTGAAAATCTCTTCTGTGGTCACATTAACGGAAACATGGACATGGAAGTTTTGTTGAAGGAGATGATACAAAATTTGTGATTGGTGGGAAATAGAAACACAAACTCTGATTGGATAAACAGCCATGGTACAATATTTGTGATTGGAGGAAAATATGAAATAAACGCTTTCTGATTGCACAAATATCCATGGTTCACAACTGATTGTTGGACAAAGAGATGTGTTTTAGTTCATGAAAGCAGTCCAGTTAGAACACTAGAGGAGGACTTTGTTTTAAAAACATGTCTCAAGCTGCTGAAAAGCGATGTTAGGTAATTGAAATGGACATATATTGCCATATGACAAAAGTCCTATTTAATACGATGTATTAATCTCAGCTATGAGGCCAAATACAAAATAATGTGTGTTTCAGGTTTTCCCTAAGTGTTTTCTTGCCTTCTTAATGTGTTTAAGGGTAATGTTGAATAAACACCGTTAAATATCATCTCAATTCTATACCATCAACGAAAAAATCTATTTTATAAAACAAGATCTTTTTCCCATCCTATCATCTCATGCTTGCACGGAAACCTGAAATTCATTTTTACTTTTGTTTGGTCATGTGACTTCTTATGAATACTTAACTAGTGCTGGCAACTAGCCTCATTGTGCGGTCATTCCAGTCTGATATTTTCTTAATTTACCTCAGTGTGTTTTTTAAATTATTATTATTATTATTTGTATTGTGCTAAAAGACCATATCAAAAAACAACATTCTATTATATATAATGCCAACACCCCATTTAATATGTCATATCAACAGTGTAAAAGTGTATAATATGCAATCTATTTCAATGACAACAAAGGACGCATTCAAATATAGATAAAAGAACAATACAAAAGACAGCTTGATTTGCATCAGTCACATGACATGATTTAATCCAGACTATTGAAACCGACTTTCGACCACAACATTGGTATTCCTATCTTGCCGTATCTACAATACAGTAGAAATTTGCAATCATTAAGGCGATGATCTTAATATAGTAGGTACATTTAAAATCCTGACTATCTTGGGATTGGTAGATTTGTATATTTACATAGTCTAAATTATATTTTCAACGTAGTAATTTATTGCTTTCATTTCTAGCCTATATTCGTTATTTTTCTATTTTCTAGTTTGTACATAATTTAAAGCCAACGTATTTCGAGGAAGGGGCAATGAATATAACCATTTAGTTTATTTGTAAAAGACAACACTATAAGTATATCAAAGTATCTATATTATTTTATGAATAAGTTGGAAGCCTTTTACCCAATGACAAAAAAAAAAGAATTACAAAATATTATCGAGTTTATTTTTTTCGTAATCATCCATTGGAAAAATATTAACAAAAGATTTCATACGATTAAAAAACTTAATGTTTTATCATAAAAAACACCAAAGTATTGGTATATGTATAACTATTATTTATAGCAATCAAAATATTTCTTCCAGTGCAAAATGCCCCTTTTTCTGCCACTAGCTACAGTCCACTATATAAAATTTGTGGGAGTCTAAATGTCCTGTCTGTCTTTAATACGGTTTATATAAAGGCCACTGATACCGGTGATCACAAACGCGTGATATGTATCGTTATTTTGCTGTCAGTGTGAAAAAAATGTGTCATTGTATGGATGAGGTTTGAACAATAGTGATTATTTATGTATGGCGTCTGCAACATTTTCCATTTATGATAAAGTTCCCTGTTTAAATAAAACATTAAAATATGTAAAGAAATAGAACAAGGGTTTTTTGCTGACATAAATGAATAGAAAATGTGTATTTACTTCAAGATTTATCTTTCTAATTTTTACATATTTGCTTACAAACTGAAAAATATGTTTCAAAATTGGTCATTTTCATGTTTGTCTGTATGGGTAAATACAGTTCCTATTGACTATGGTTTCAATAGGTGTATATACCAACAATTACTGATATGACGTCATTGAGTGTGTATTGTACCAATTTGCGCAATTCACCAATCAGATTTGCCGTAATATTTAACATGAGAGAAAGGAATGAGACTGAAAGGATCGATGTCGTATATAGTGTGCTTATATGTCATCTTTGTAGAAATCACATTCTATTTTATTTATTTTCATGTCAAAATAAAAGACCATTCAGATTTATATATTGTCATCGTTATATTTATTTTTTTGTCGAAATAGCTTTTCCTTAATCACTTTACCAGATTCCTGGACTTTGATTAACTGCCATCTAAAAATATCGAATAACAGGTAAAATCTCCGAACAATGTCGATGGGGGAAAACAAAGTTAAGTTCATATTATTAATATTTATTTTTTGAACTTTTCTTAATAATTTGTGTTGTGGCTATTCGAAACTAACGTTATGCTAATATACTTACCTATTCTGGACAACTTGTGAGGAAGCTATTGTGAACAATCCAATATGAAAACTAATGTTAACATTTGAAAAGGATTTTAACCGTACTGAACAATAAGTATTTCTGTAATGAGACTATTCTGAACGATTGCTAAAGGAATTATTGTAAACTTTCGATAAAGGAAAATATTCTGCACAATTAGTAAGGCAAATATTCTAAATATCACGTGTGTAGACAATAAAAAACATTCCATTAGAGAAAACTATTTTAACTGTCAACTAGTAACTAGAACAATTAGTAAGGAGAATATTTGAAACAACTACTATTGACATATATTTAAAGAATCACTAAATGAGGTTATTCTAAATCATCGCTGTGGACTGTTTTCAACCGGCTTATCTTAACAATGATAATAATCAGAATTCCAAACATTTAGTGAGCCAAGAGGCTATTTTGAACTGTTAGTATTCAGATAACTGTTAATAAATCATTTTACACGAGGTATACATTTTTAGCTCACCTGCCCGAGGGGCAAATGAGCTTATGTCATGGTGCAGCGCCCGTCGTTCGTCCTCGTCCATCAACTTTTCCTTTAAATAACTTCTTCTGAAGAACGGACAAGCCTAGAGTCATGATATTTGGCTGAAAGCTTGTTGGTAGGAGCCCGACAAAGTTTGAGAATGAAAATGACCTTGACTTTCTTTCAAGGTCCCAGCTGTCAAATATGTCAAACTCTTTCAACGACTTCTTCTAAAGAACTAAAATGTATAGAATCTTTATATTTTGCTGGTGGCTTCCTTGGATAGAGCCCAACAAAGTTTGAGAATGACAATGACTTTGACCTTCTTTCAAGGCCACAGCGGTCAAATATGTCAAACGCTTCAAACGAATTCTTCTGAAGAACTAAAAGGTATAAAATCTTCCTATTTGGCTGGTGGCCTCCTGGGATGGAGCCAACCAAAGTTTGAGAATGACCCTGACTTCCTTTCGAGGTCACAGCGGTAAAATATGTCAAACTCTTTACACGTCTTCTTCTGAAGAACTGAAAGGTATAGAATCTTCATAATTGGCTGATGGTTTCCTGAGAAAGAGCCCGGCAAAGTTTGAGAATGAAAATGACCTTGACCTTCTTTCAAAGTTACAGTAGTCAAATATGTCAACAACATCAAATGACTTCTTCTGAATAATCGAAAGGCATAAAATTATAGTATTTGCTGGTGACTTCCTGGGATAGAGCTCACCAAAGTTTCTGAATGAAAATGACCTCAACCTACTTTAGAGGTCACAGAGGTCAACAACATTTTTAAGGATTTGTTCTTAAGAACCAAATGAAATGGATTCATAAGATTTGGCAGGTAGCTTTTTGGAATAGAGCTAACCAATTTGAGAAGGAAAATGGCATTGACCTACTTACAAGGTCACAGGGAAAAATATGCCAAGCAACTTCTGAAGAAGAATAAAAAAGCATAGAATCTTAAAATAATATTTGGCTGGTAGTTTCAACAGATGGAGATGACAAAGTTTGCGAGGAAAATATTTGTAGTGCAATATAATATTTGACTGCTTAAATATTCAGGTAAGCGATATAGGCCCACTTGGCCTCGTCTTTGTTTTCGCAAGAGGGAAGTCTAGAATGACGTCTAATATCTACCAAATATTGATTAAGACACAATTATGTAAGGGGTAAATATTTTATGTAAATGCTATATTATTCAACTAGTGTTTTTTCAACGTAACTCATAGATACTTTGAAGCGTAATCGCCGAAAAAAGACTTTCTTCTTATTCTTAAAAATACATGGGTGACCTTAAGGAAAATGTATCACAAGTTGATTTCATACCCAAGTTGTTGCATCATTTGTGTTGACGTCAACAGTATATGCGTGGGAAGCTCTAGAGTGTTGCCCCGTGGACTGTGTATATAAACACACGGTAGACTTTGAACCTGCTCGGTCAGTGAGTATATAAATATACCGACCTATTGAAGGTATTAACCGATATACGTATGTTTGGCCCTGGAGATGACCCCTGGTCAATAATTGACCAGTGCATGGCGTAGACGCTACACATATAAACAGTTCATGTTTACAAAGCTAACTGGGTCAATGTATTAACCTTGGAAGGCTCGAGATTCATTGTACATAGTTTGCTTGACCCTCAACGTACGCTTCACATGGTGAAATGAAGTGTAACTTGGATTCATATGTACTCTTGACCAGTGGTCAAGGGAGGAATAGGTCACCTCTTTTATATTAACCTATTTTTCAAGTAAGAGGTGTACACAATTTAATATCATATATATAATTGAAAATAATGTTTATAGATATGATTAATTATTCATGCATGAAGAAGCAGATCGTCCTGTAATTTGAAAAGAGCAAATTCTTTAAAGTAGTAACAGTACATGTTAACATTTAAGTTATGACCTACATCAGTTAGGTTAGGTACATGCCTGAGATGAATATACACAACGTAGTTCAAATAGATTTTTACGAATATACAGTGTACACATGTATATTGATATAGTATAACTATACACAAAATAAGTGTATGGGTAACAAAAAGGTATTGTAAAAAAACATTACTTTAAATATTCATCTCTGCAATATCAGTCGTTTTTTATCTTATGGACGCAGTTCGCATGTAAAAACGTTTAACATATAATCTTTTAAGTGGAACTATGACCCAGTATGTTCCAGAAGTTCACCGTCAGCCTAGATGTGGTTATCAACTTTACTATACCACAGGTAATGAAAGCCCATATATACAGTTTGATAGAAAAATCCAACATGTTTTTTCCTAATGGATGACTCAATATGCTTTTATGTATGAGTAGCCTTTTTGATCTGATGGTGGACCAATATTTTGTCCATTAAGTCAAACATGCATCTATTTTCATTACGTATCCAGCGGTATATAAAGCCATTAGGTATATGAAGGGTCAAAGATGTAGGTTAATTGGGATTATGCCAAGTGTTATGATTTCACAGGAAACAATTCCATGTTTGACATCAATATCGACTTTTCGATTCTTCTTACTATTTCACTGTATGGTTTCGTTGTCACGACCCACGCTCTTTCTTTGAAACCGTGACCGTAATTGGAGTTGACCTAACTGTACATGCTGGTTGTCGTTGATGAAGCGAAAGCGAAAGACGTCTACTCCTCTGGAACAACTGGTCGAGTTATCCTTGTACTTTTTCAATTGTAAAGGTCTCCTCTGTTTCAAAATTAATCCAAGATTGATATTTGGTTCTAAATATCCCCCACCTCTTCTATTCGCTTGTTAAATCCATGTAAACATATTTGATTTCAAACATATGCAAGGTCGGTCTCACCAAACATCGATATTACATTAATAAGAAAAAGTGTGACGCAGGTCATTGCATTCTCATCTAGAAAATATATCAAAAAAACAATGCATGTAAAATGAGAATCGCACTTTATTGGTAAATCATTCAAATGACGTTGAGTTAACAGACGTTATATGCAAATATATGTGGTCACGTTGTCATGCAGTATTGGTTATTTACTCATTCACCCCTGAAGACGCATTTGAACTCCTCCAATTCAAATAGTGTAATTCAACATTTGACAGGGATTTACTTTTTCGTTAAATTTCGGAAAAGACTCCTTTGCCAACTCATATCTACTATCAGTATTGCAAAAATAAAAACTACATTTCATTCTTGAGTTCAAATAAAATTCAAATTCGAGCAAAAATAAAATGATTTGCAGAAAGTGTTTTGTTGTATAAAAGTGGTAGTGCTATTTTGCAAGGCGTTTGCTAGTGTTTTTATGATATAAACATGTATACTTAAATACTTTATCTTGATATACATATGTGTCCATATACATATGTATACAGGTAAACACTTATTAGCGACAATGCAGACAAAAAATTGCATTGCCCCTACTGTCGCTGTTACTCGTGTGATTGTAAATATACAATTGTATCTGTTTAAACAATACACATCCAACGAATCTGTTTTTATTTTGATGAAGTATAGGGGAATCCAAATATGTATTTTGATTACGAGGATAGATTATTAAACCACTTTACTATACAAAATGTTCGAAATTGCTTATTTAACGAAAACAAGTTATCAAGATTTCCAAAACATTATCATTCTCGGTTTAACCCTTTCACCCCTATGTAACTTTAGTAGACTCAACATGTACCATGCGTTGATCTAGATAAATCCATTTATGGTCTACAGTGGTGAAAGGGTTAAACATTAAAATGAGCTGACATGTCGGTCAATAACATTGCTGTGATCAAGTTTGACATATTAGCCAACAGTAAACCATTTATTTTACTGACGAATATTATTACGATTACCTATACAATTTGTTTTCACGCATGGAAAAGAATTGTGAATGTGTTAAAAAAAACTGCACATTGTATCATTATTTATGTTTTGAAATAAGATTTAGGTGTTTGTAAAATCGATATAAAGATGTATTAATGTAAATCTGCATCAATTATTCTATCTGTAATGGAAATGCAATCATCTAGCCTGTCGTGTGTATCGGACCAGTAGCAACGACCTGACAACTGACGATGCGTGCCTTTGTTTTGATATTGTACTAACAATACAAATAAAAAATATATAGCAATGTACTAAATAAACTAAGTCTATTGGGAATTAATTATAAGTATCAATAATTTGGTGATGACCTAAATGTTAGAATGTTTTCAAACGTTTATAAGTACGCTTGCACCAAACAAGATTGGAATATGATAAACTATAAACCCATCCTCAGTTGTTGGAATGTGCTAT